TACTTCAACGGAAGATTTCCAGAGGGATATGCAGAGCAAATCCATCTGGCGGAGTCAGGTTAGCTCAGACCGCCACATACCGGCGGTGCTCTGTGACTGGGAATCCCCAGCAGCAGCTGCCTCAGGCCTGGTCGACTCTTCGCGGTTTTCAGCTACTGTTAATGGCTGCTGGAATTAGATGTTAGCATTTTTCAGGTACGTAATCCAAACTGCAGGCACCAGGAAAACAAAATTGAACATATTTTGCCGGCAATATTTTACATTTTAAGTAAATTTAGGCGTTAATAAACAGTTTCAGAGGAGTGATCATAGCGCTCTGCATCAGCAGCGCTGTGTCTGACTCCCTGCCAGCTCCCAGATGAGCTCCTCTGATTGGTTGATGAGGCGTGTCGAGCAGCAAAAGTTAAATTTTTTAAACTCCAGCAGCGGCTGCTGCTTTTGCAGCGCATCAGATGCTCAAAAGCTAATGATTCGCTGCTTGAAACACGCCGCATAACCTTTTGATGCGCGTCAACCTTTGACTTTGCGTGTAAACTAGCTACTTCTGCTGCCTGTAGCGTGTGCGGTCTGAATGGGGGGGGGGCAGGTACAGCATTGGAACTATCAACCTGTCTTTCAGGGACAGACTTGCAATTGGAGATTCTGTAGTTGGAATCACCCGAGGCAATTCCCATAATGAAGCATCGAACAAACATCTCTTTACCCGAACTTCACCAGCAGCGTAGATCAATTCAAAGAAAAACAACCGACCAGGAAACAAGTGAAGCACCGCCTACATACCTGTTGCACCTGCTGTTGCAGCTGAAGCTTCTGGGCGTGGTCCAGGTGGAGGGAGGGGCCCGTCTGGCCTGCCACAACTAAAATTGAGACCGCGGGCTGAGGGGGGGTACAGGACGAATCTTTGCTGGTGTTACAGAGGTGGTTGGTGGTGTCCTGCAGGGCTCTCCTCTGCTGCAAAGCTTCGTACTGTTTCCGGACCGTCTGCCTTCGCTCCGTTAGCAGCCCGGCTAACGGAGCCTCGAAACTACAGTTAGCATCACAGATAATTAAACAATCAAGAAGTGCTTGCAACAGCTTACAGATTTAATCCAAACAAGAATAAATTAGATCATAAAAAGCAAAAGATTTATTAAACTTTCTACCAATGGAGATAAAAGGCAATCACCCACTGGTGTCCAGTGTTTTCCTCTTGGCTAATTTCTTCTATTGTTATCTTTAGTGAAAGAAGCAGCCGAGGAACTTGCTCTTCCTCCTGACCCAAACGGTCACAGCACTTCTCTGCTGAACCGTCCCTACAGGAGGATTGGCTAGGACCCGTGGGTTACGGTTTCAGAACACTCTTCAGTGTGGAAGTCAAATGAAGTTAGAATGAGACCAAGAGCTGTGAGGAGTCTTTAAAAGGAAGCTGTGTTGCCTGTGGAGGTTCATGCATGCAGCTACAGCAGGTCAAGCTGTAGATGAGACCAATGGGATGTGAAAATGCTGAAAACTCACTCATCTGAGATAAGATTGTTTTCCAGTGTTTATTTTTGTTTATATGTTTTTCTTTAAGGCAGTTCTACAAAAGCAGAGGAGTTTTATCCCACCTCTTAGAGATTATCAAGAAAATGAATCACCCACAGCTAGATTAAACCTCTTGGTCTTTCTACTGCAGAAACAGATCTAGGCGCTGCCTCAGGGTTAAGGCGGTGTTCTGTCAGATGAGCATACCCCGTCAGACCAGCATACCCATAGTTAATACCCATTTATCCCTTTAGTTTTATACAGAAAACACACTTTAAACTACCTCAATGGGCATGTATCCCTTTAGCAATGTAGAAAAAGCAAAATGTATAACTTACTTTTTGGTGTTTTTTGAAGCGCATTGGTGATCTGAACTAAAAAAAAAATATTTTTTTGTACATGACTAAAGGGATCCACTTAAATCTAATATCTTGCGTGTGTGTATTGACTAGAGGTGTAAATAATCAATTTCTTTCGATGCATCGATCCAACAGCTGACGATCTGATGCATCGACATGTCAGCAAGCGTATCGATTCATGTTTTTTCTTCTACGGTTTATTTTTTCCATTTTCTCCTGGATGCAATTCTGACTCGCTTTACTGCGGTGGTGCTAAAACTTTTCCAGCCGCCGCGGTGAACCGCAGGGAGGCGACCCGGCCATAGGCTGCTGTTGAATGGGATCCTACTGTCGGCGCACCGCTGGTATGTGGGGGTCTGAGCGGCTCCGACAGAAATAATATTGGAAGGCAGGATGGTAATCTGGATGAACTGACTGCAATGATTAAGTTTTCAGGTGGATTTTCTCACTTAAAAACATATTAAAACTACTTTATTCCCACTGATCACAGCAAATATAGCTGCAAGGCAAAGAAAGGAAAGAGTAGCTCCGCCCAACGCGCGTCAGACACACTTCTCCACAGTACAGCCAGAGCAGCAAAGCTGCTTCAGCCGCGCATCAGAACTAAAGTTGTACAAGCAGCAAAAATGAAGCAGCAGACGCGATTTTGCTGCTCCTGCTGCATCCGGTGTGAACGTAGCATTAGAGTGACCTACGATGACGATGGAAAGAAAGTTGTGGATTAGAGAGAGACACAGTGCAAGCATTGTGCAACATGTTTTGTTTAAGCTAACAGCAACATGACCCAACATGTCAGGCTAACAATCAACATATACCGAACCGAAAACCGTGACCACGAAACCGTGAACCGAACCGTGGATTTTGTGAACCATTCCAGCCCTATTATATATATATATACTTGAAACATTGTCTAGCCTGTAAGGTAAAAAAAAAATTACCCAATTACTTGAATCGTGGTATATTCATGACTATAGAAAATAATTGAATCATTGGGTCAGGGAATTGATAGTGAATCGAATCGCCATGATGGGTATGATTCACACCCCTGGTATTGACTATGGGTACGCTCATCTGACAGGATAGCGGCATATTTTTAGATAAAATCTCCCTTCCCGTTTGAATTAAGTAACATTTTAGATAATAGATAGTTTTCTATCGATCTTCACCATCAGTTAACTGAGTTTAGTTACCGTAACGCCTGCGGGATATTAAACTTAGGGGCGGCAGCTGATGGGGACTCCTGCTCCTGCTCCTCCTCCTCCGCTGGAAACTCTTCTTCCTGAAGCTAGAGTAAAAAAAATAAATAAACAATCAAAATCACCTATCGCCAAGCTTTATGTTTGGGAGAGAAAAAAATTGCAGAAATTATAAAAATGAATCTTAAACCATATTAACTAGAGCACAACATTACAGTTACACAAAGAAGAAGGAAAACCACATCTAGAACAGCTGGAGCGAATCACAGAAACTAACTCACGGTTTCAAAGAGTTCCTCCAGCAGCTCGTTCACCTCCTTCTCTGAAAAAGAAAGTATAGTTCAGAGGGAAACCTTCACCTTCTACTCCAAACTCTGCTTGGTAACACCTACTGGTGATCTGGACGGCTCGGTCTGTTCTGTAGTCTTCCAGGTCTGGTTCGTCAAGGTCCTCCAGAAAATTATACTCAGGGTCGTCGTCATCCTCAGCTTCATCTAAAAATAAATTAGAGTTAGAAAAAGACAGAAGATAAACTTTTGCCACAAGATTCAGCTAACAGGGACTCAGCTAAAGGATGGTGCTTCATCCAATCTGGTCCAAGTTTTAAACGACATTGAAAATACTCCTTGGTCTGCACAAAGTCCCATGGAGGTGACAAGGTCTACGTGACTACGCTTCACGTAAAGGAACTCTCCAAACTAGGGCTGGGCGATAATTCAATAACGATATATATCGATCGA